TAAAGGGTTTTAGAAGCTGAACCTACCTTGCAACTCAATCTTCTGTCACAGGCGAAGGCAGAAGAGTGGTGACAGTGAGACTCTTCAGCTTATGCATTGGGTTGGTGCTCTTTGTAAATCTCATTCTGAACTTCAGGGAAAAGGTGTAAGGAGAAAAAAAAAAAAAAGCTTTAAATATTCATATCTGTATGTTCCTGTTTAATTTCTTTTGTTTGTTATAAAACCCTACCTGCAGATGACAGGTAGTTCAGCAAGTCTGGGGACTTTCACCTCCTGCATTCCCAGAAGAAACATGGGCTAGGCAGAGGAGAACTTCTTGTGCTCTTCTGAAAAGTCCTTTCTGTAGAAGCTGGAGAAATGAAAAAAAACCTGCACTGTATTGTGCCAAAGTATTAGCCTGTATTGTTCAGTGCTACTGCTACAAGCTGAAAAGCAGATGTTCTCTAGAATGCACATAATTTTGACTGTAGTTAATTACATTTTCTGTAACAAAATTTCAACACAACCTTAACCTAATATGTATAGAAAAAAATATTTAAAATTGAGTTTGTATTAGAATTATTGTATTCGATGTTGAACAACAACAACAAAGAAGTGACAGTGAAAAGATACAACAGGTGACAGAGAAACAATGCAGGGAAAGTGAAAAATGACAGCAAGAGTGAGCAAAGAAGGAAGTGAGAAATCATATCTCTTCACCTGAAAGCCAAAGTGAGACAGAGAGCAGACTGAAACAATGCAAATAAGCTGTGACAGGTGATGTGAACATCTGATAAAAAGCAATGGGCCCAACAGAAGATTGACTGAATGATGAGGTGGACATCAAGGGACTTCAATAAAGGTGCAACAGCAGAGAAGGAACAGCAGGTGAGAGGCTGTGTGGGTGGGATGGGTTGGAGATGATGAGGGCAGAACGCTATGTCCACAGGAAAAACTGAGTCAGGCCTGAGAAATAAATCTTGGAACATATGTTCTCTCTGATAGTGAGTCATAGAACAGAAGTAGTTCTAATGAAGATCTGCTTCTTTGTTCTTTATTCTCTGACCAAGGATTTCCACCCTTTGTTTTTTTGTTTTTGTTTTTGTTTTTGTTTTTACTGGATCCTCCACTGAAAGGGGAATCAGTTTAGTCATTTTATGAGGAGGTTGAAATGGAGATATGTTTTTGCACATGTGAGAAGATTGGAAGGAAACATTTGAATCTGCAAAATGGGTGGAAGACAAAGGAGCTTCACTAACAGAGACAGAAAGCAAACAGTGACTGAGACCCCTGAGTCTTTGCAGTGTACGTATGTGTATGAGAAGATTGTCTGTTTTCCAACAAAACAAGCACAGAACTCAGTTTCATACAGGAACATTTGAATTACATCAAAACAAACTAGCCTAGGCACAAACAGTTGTACAGTCACATGAGCCTGGTATTGCTTTGATGCTTTCTTTGGATCAAAAGGAGCCAGGTAGGATGCCACATCTGCACAGCTTTATTGCTTCTAATATTCAGATGAGTTTGTTTTCTGGGGCATTACATTGCTTTTTGTGCAGGCACTATCTTTGCAGTGTAAAAATACAAAAGCTGTAGATGAGAAGGCATAGGAGAGGAGGGATCTGTGCTGATGTCTGTAATGTGTGTATGGCAGTAGCAGAACAAAAGTGTTGAATGTAGGAGTGAAACAGCAAAATTGCTGTTTCAAAACTATAACTAAGTCCATCAGCTCTGGATTCTTCTCCAGTCTTTCAGATCGCCTATAATACCTTGTTTCCTGACGTGCACTTGACAGTTTGTGTGGAGGAGGACATAAGCTACCTGTCCAGCCTGGTGAGGTTACTGTTCTCCTTCCAGCTGTGGAATGCAATGTTCCCACTTTCCTCCAGGAACATTGTGAGCACACCTGTGTTATACCTGCTCCCACTGAGCATGATCACATTGCAAGTGCTGCCAGTGCAGTAACTTGGTCTGCAGGGAAATGCAGTACAAACAAGGGTCTGTTCACAATACCTACTTAACTTTAAAAGGACTAAATACCCTTTGCTTGGTCCTTAAATCCTTTGATCTTTCAGAAAGAAGTCTGACCAATTATTGGGAACTTCTGCTCTTTGCTGGGTGAAAAACTGGCTGGATGTCTGGGCCCAAAGACTTGTGGTGAACAGAGTCAAATCCATTTGGCTGCTGGTCACAATTCTTCCCCAGGGCTCAGTGTCGGGGCCAGTTCTCTTTATCAATGGTCTCAATAAGGGGATCAAGTGCACTTTCTGTAAGTTTGCAAATGAGACCAAGTTGGGTTGGAGTGTTGATCTGCTTGAGGGCAGGCAGGCTCTGCAGAGGGACCTGGACAGGCTGAGGCAAATTGTGCGAGGTTCAACAAGGCCAAGTGCTGGGGTCACGACAACCTCCAGGCTTGGGGAAAAGCAGATGGAAAGTGCCTGGCAGAAAAGAACCTGGGCTTGTTGATAGAAAGAGCTGAAAATGAGCCAGTGCATGCCCAGGTGGCCAAGAAGGCCAACGGCATCCTGGCTTGTGACAGAAATGGTGTCATCACCAGGACTGGGTAGGGATCACCCCCCTTCACTCCTCACTGGTGAGGCTGCACCTCGAGTACTGTGTTCAGTTCTGGGCTGGTCTCTGCAGGAAGAACATTGAGGTGCTGTAGCAAGTCCAGAGAACTGCAACCAAGCTGGAGAAGGGTCCGAAGAACAACTGTTAAGATGGGTAGCTGGAACAATCATAGCAAGGTGGTGGTTCTGGAGTGTCTGTACTAAGGTCAATTTTTAATTGCGATCATTCAAATTTTTAGTCTTGGGACACGAATCTTCAATGGAATTGTTACAACTCATAAAAAGCGGTGATGTTTTTTTAGATGTCTGTTGCAAGGGTTTTCATTACCTTAACACTCAAAGGTTTATTCAGCTTCATTTTCATAATCTCACAGCACTGTACGACAACTTGCTTTTTCTTCTGCAGGTTGGTCTGGGAAATGAATTTACTGAGAGGATCTGAATTGCTGTTGAAATGTGACTTCCTCATGTTCTCAGTTGTGGATTTCATTTCCTGACTTTGCTGCCAGAACTACCAAGTGCTGATTTTTACAGTGCAGTATTCCTTTGTTACATCCTTATGCAGCTTTAACAGACAGGTAATGAATACTCTTTAAAAATGGCCTTTTGTTTAAAGGAAAAAAAAGTGCTGTGCACAAACTTGTTAGGATTGTTGTGTGCAAGGACACACTTTTTTAAAAAGTCCCATCCCCTATATTATGCAAGATACTTGCTCTGTATTTGCAATGTACCCCAAGGTACACAAAGAGAGCAGATCAACTCAAGTGTCCCACATGAGGCTAATCCAGGGATCTAAATATTGATGTGAAATATCATTCCATTATTTGTTAATTCTTTCCCTCTTTGTCCACCTGCATCTAGGTTGTCTGAGTGGAGAAGTAAACATAGTAGGACATTTGAGTACAGTAAATTTCTTTGTAGTATTAACTTGAAACACTGTGGTGGCTTTGTAATGAGTGAAATTTAACCAGGCTGCCAGGGCAGTACAAGATCTTTGTTTCTTTATCCAAGAAATTGTGATAACAATAATGATATGGTTTATTAGCTCCTTTCTCATATAGCTAAAATAATTACAATTTATCACACATTTAGTAGTAGCATCTCAGTCAGTGCTCTGATAAGGTCAACTAGCTTTAACTTACCTGTAATAAGTCTCCATACTGCAGTTTGCATATCCACATCTATAGCAATATAGAAGTCACATTTAGCTCTAACATCAGATGATTAAGGTCTAAATTTTCAGAAAAAGTCCTCTAATTTTGGCTGCTAACTTTGATAAAGATTGAGCCTAACTTTCAGAGGTACCAAGAGCTCGAAAGTGGAAGCCATCAAAAAAATGCAGCACCTGAGAAAATCAGAGCCAGAATGGTTCAACCTGAGCCACAAATGAATAGGGAAATAAAATTTTAAAAAGTCTAGTTCTGGGGAAGTTAAAAATTGCTCCATCTCTTCTTTACTTCCTTACACCTATTTCTCGATCTTCTTCCATAATTTTTTTCAGATTATACTATGTATATAGTATAATATGTATAGAGCTGAGCGTGCTCTATTAAAAGTAATTCTTCCTTATTATTTATGATCTCATTATTTTTGTTATAAATGTCATCCCTGATTTTTGTTTTTGTTTTCTTTTTAGTTATATTGATCCATATATGAAAGTACGAATGATAGTTTACTTGTTATAGGAACAGGAAGATATTTACACTAAAACTAGACTTTCTCCTTTTTGCATTATTTCAGGGCTGTTGGCTTGCTGTCAGTAATGCACATATAGGCATCGTACACGTCAGGCATTGTCACATGCAAAATGAAAGAATTAGCAGAACTAGGAAGTTTAAGATTCTAATCCATTTGAAGCAAACATTAATTTACCCATTCCAAGATTTCCAGTGCCTCACACTGAGTTTCAGGTATCAATGGGTCTTGAAGTTAAGAACTCAGACAGTAATTATCCTCAAAAGGGTATGGAAGGAGAGATGAAACAAAATCAGCATTACCCATCTTGCAAGCTAGATAGGCGGTAGTGCAAGCATTTAAAAAGCCTGCTTGTGCATCTTTATGAAGTTCTCCTCCATATGAGAAGCCAACTTCAATTGTATTTTATTATTCATGGATAGAGTTTCAATGTGAACTTCCTGTAAAAGCACAACCCTCTCAGACTGTTTAAGACCGCGCAAGATATACATCCTAAAGCCTCAGAGGTGAAGTTGTTCACGTGATTTTTTTACCTTCATTGCCACAGGTCAGTGGCTCATATTCCGTGTATATGTGTGGGTTATTTTCATCACGGTTTCCCTTGCTTCTAGTGGTAGTCCACCTTTATTTTTGCAGATTTTTAGCTGCCACAGCCTTTGAAAGCTAGCATGGCTCCAATCCATCTCAGCAGGAGAAGGCAGTTATCGTAAATCCTGAAGCAATCCTTTTTTTGTTTCAGATCAACCTGAGAAAATGTTTCAGATCCTCACAACACTGTTGCTGGAAATGCAGCTCTATGCAGTTTCAGGTGAGAGAGAAACTACCTTTCACTTCCACCAGCATCCACCAGGCAGCAAACCCTGCAACTTTGTTGGGCACAGGCCCCAGCACCCCTGCTGACCCCCGTGTGAGCAGCCAGGGGAGCCCCTGCTTTGCAGCTCCTTACGGGAGGCACTGGGTGCTAATGCAGCACAGAGCAGGTGTCTATCACTCTCTGCAGCCGGTCTTCTTTCACACAGAGTGTATTGGCAGCTGAGGGGCCCAGCATCAGTAGCCACAGCTATGAGAGGGAAGATGACCGAAGCAACCTAAGCCAGCTCTAAATTAGAACAACCTCAGTGAGAGACAGAGTGAAGTAAAACCGCATGTACCCCCCTGACCGTGTCTGTAACTTGACTAACCCAAAAGAGACTTCCTTTTACATACTTTTCCTCTTGTTATTGTTGTATTGAAGTGTATAAACAAACATTGCTGAAAGGAATGGAAACTTTCCATGTAAGTATTTAATAAACACATTAAATAAAAGGAATGCATAAACAGATGCATGAACTTCTCTTTTCAGTGTCACTATAAGTACTTCTAAGTGCTTCTCAGTTAAATCTACCAATGTATTGTACATCTAATTTTTAAAGTAGTAACAAGGTATATTGAATGATGTGGCATAAATAACTCCCTTATCAAGACACTTGGAAATGCTACATTTTCCATAACAGTATGAATTTCAGATCTACTGAATGACTAGGAAGATTATTTTTATATCCTTTCTGTAGTACTGTTGCATATAGCTCAGAAGACACATGGGATCAAATGATAGTCCCATGTTCCCAGGCTTGTGGTGCATAGCAGTTCTCCCAAGATACACATGCTTATCCATTGCAATTCTATTTGTCCCACAGGAGTTACGCTGGATTTCCGCTTTGTTAAGGATAATGAAATTAGATTTACTACTTCCACAATTAGCTGTTGCTTTTACTAAAACCCTAGGAAACATAAGATACAATCAGAGTTTCATAGAAGTGCTTTCTGTATAATCACTGACTCAGCCTTAAGCTATTTCTAAAATGTGAAAAAAAGCGCCTTTGCTCATTTTGTTCTTGTCTTGCAGACTTATCAATACAGACTATAGATGATTTGCTAAAAATACTACTGACATGGTAAAAATTTTAGTGTGAATAGTAGCTAAAAATGCTTAGAAATTTTAGTCAAACCAGTAACCATATGCCTGACTATTTGACATCTTTTTGCCCAAGTTTTAAGAAAATTAGAACACATCTTATTACAGCAAATTAATCTGTTTTCTTCTCCTATTGTAGCTTTTTTCACAGTTGACGTTCCTCAACACCTATACGTTGTAGAGTATGGGAGCAATGTGACCATGGAATGCAGATTCCCTTGGAACAGCTCGTTAGACCTAGGACTACTATCTGTTGTTTGGGAGCAAAAAAAGCAGGACCAACTGACATCCAAAGAGGTGTACACATTCCGCAATGGGAAGGCATTCCCTTCATCCCAACATCAGGACTACACAGGAAGAGCTGCACTTCTGCTCAGTGAACTGAAACTGGGACGAGCTATCCTTCAGATTACCGGCGTGAAGATCACAGATGCAGGATCATACCTTTGCCTCATTGGGTACCAGGGCGTGGACTACAAGTACATTACTTTGGAAGTAAGAGGTTAGTGCCTGAACTGGATGTAGGTGTCTATCCAGTGAAGTGTCTCATTACACTTCTGTGGGCTTGTAGAGATTGATTATTTTGGAGGAAACTGCTGCTAATTCTTTCACCAGCTCCCTGTGCTCAGCCCCTAGGTGATCCAAAGCAGTTGTTTTACTGCCAGCTAGTCTTCGGTTCCACAGTCAGCTGAGGTTTTCCAGGAGTGACCTTTGCCAGAGAGAATGACTGCTCCCTTCATTCTTCTCCTTCTTCCTACACCTTCTCCTCCAGTGACCTCAGCCACTCCCACCTCTCTCTTGACCCCTTGTCCTGTTGGGTCACCTCTGGCCATTCCCAAAAGTTTCTCAGTTTCATTTACTTCTGGGCCATGCTGCAAATACCAAAGTGCCTGGGAACTCCCTGAGTGACAGCAGCTCCTAAAGCAGGGACATGATTTTCGGTGGTTGTCATTGGACATTAGTAATAAAGGTGCACCTTGAAGGATAGCACGATAGACCTTTGAAAGGTCTCTGGTGCTTCCCACTGACTGCAGTATGTCCTTGTGATACAAGGCAGCATTCATTTCCCATCTAGCGATTTAAATGCTGAGCTTGGTTAAATGCAAAAACGGATACAGATAATTTATAAGACCCACTTTGGTTTTTCTGAACTGTTCTCACAGAAATTCTAAGTTCATTTTGTACTAATATGATGAAAATACTATGCTTGTTTATAAGCTATGGGAAAACAAACATTAAAAATGGCCTTTTTTGTGAAGTGGCATATTCAAAAAGTGGAACTAGAGTCCCACTTGCTTTCTCGGTGTAAGAGGAAAGGCTGTGTTCAGTGTCACTAGCTGCCTTGTATAAAGAAGTTCTGGCACTGTTGGCATGAGAAGGCATGAATAACAAATAATGAATTGTTCTACAAAACATCCTTCAACCTTTCCAATAAGTGTACTTCAGAGAAACTATGGCATTAAAGGTAAGGAAGGAAAGTGAAGTGGGAAAATGGCTATTGCTGCATAAAGTAATTTCACTCTGTTTCTTCTTATATAGCACCCTACAGGAAAATAAACACTCAAGTAATGAGGAAACCAGGTGAAAATAAGTTTGTTTTTACATGCCAGTCAGAAGGCTTTCCCCTGGCAGAAGTTTTCTGGCAAAATGAGAAGAACTTGAGTCTCAGTGGATTTGCAAATACCACTTACACGCTGACTGCAGATGGCCTCTACAACATCACGAGCATCGCGACATTCAAACCAAATATGAGTGAGAACTACAACTGTGTGTTCTGGCATAAAGAGCTGAATAGGGAAACTTCAGCTCACATTTCTGCTTCAGGTTCGTGTCACCTTCTCCTTGTATGGGACAGGGAGAGTTTGTACATACCTTATATCCTATGACCCATCACTGGAAATTGATCCTAGAAAATTATATAATATTAATGCTCTGGAAAAAAAAACAACCAAACGGTCATTGTTTTGTTAAAGCTTCTTATGGTAAATTTGCAGAACAATGTATTCATAAAATTAGTATTTTTTGTTACAGTCAGATCAACACTTTGGAGAATTAGAACAGACAACTTCATAAATGATATCTGATTCATAAGTTATGAATTTACTTTCTTTTCATGTTTTCGACAGCTTTTATGAGTACACAGTTCAGTGGACAAAAATCCCTGGTCTTGTTCATCGTTCCTACATGTGTGGTGGTGGCTGTCCTTTCCTCTGCATTAATAATCTTAAAAAAGAGAAAATCATACGAGAATGGGCAATCCAAAAAAGGTACATTCTACACCAAATAGTGGATCTTTTCACTTTTTTACTTTCCCTGTAGCACCTTTATGGAAGCCTTAGTAACTCTAGATAACACTTATGTGACTTTGGACTGCTGTTTTTCACTACTACAGGAACAGTGTAGCTACAGTATGTGACATAAAAGTTTTATTTTCAATCTCCATTAAGGCTATATAACTAAAACTGTATACTGTACTGCACTATTATGAATAGTGTTTCTTTCCTTGATCACAAATGCAATAGTGATCTATTTGTGATATTCTTGATCACAAATGCAATAGTGGGAAAGTAATAAAACAAACAGGCTATTATTCTTGGTTTTCTTGCATATGAATAGACTCCAGTAAACTCAGACAAATGCATTCATTAATGAAATCAAAAGCTTGTTGTTAAGGAGTGAGGAATTTGGTTCAAAATTTGTAAAAGAACAGAAGTGTATAGAAGTTTATATAAACTAGAAGTTTAGTAATATAAAATATAGTAATAATAGACTATAATTTGATTAAAACTCAGTTTAATAAAAAAGTTTGTTGAATTGCATTGTTTCTTTCAAATCTATAAATGTTTAAGCTAAATCTGTATATATTCAACAGGCAGGAAAAGAAGCATGAACCCCAACCTGAAAGATGAGAACAGTAAGTCATAGGACTTTCTCTATTTATGCTTGCAGCTTTTTCTTTGTTACAGCTAAAATCTTGAAAAATCTGTAGATGGCAACCTAAATTATGTTACATCAGAAGAGAAGTTAGTATTGATTTTAATTTCAATTTTTCTTCACTTTTCTGAAATTGCGTTATCTAACATTCTGATTTCTCACAGCCTTTATACAGAATTATGACAGTTTGTTCCAAATCACTGTGGTACAGACAGCTTGCACATGCAACTTGGTGTCCGCGTCTGCATGCTGACTGCCATCCTAGCAGCCTCAGCTGAGCTGGATAAACATAGAAAGCTCATTGTCTTGGAAGGCATCAAGATTTCTTTGATAATAGTCTGTTACGCTTTTGGCTCACCTCACAGGTTTTAACAACAAAGAGAATGATACCTCATTTATCTGGAATATTAGATAACCCGCTGAGCCACTTCTCATCTTACGAAGCTGTGGCTTCCCTAGATATCCAGGAATCTTTACACTGCAGAGAGAAGACAATGCCTAAATATAATCAAGATGCGTATAACTGCTCTATACTACAATAAAACTGAAATAAGGAAACCACCATAGAAAACTATAAAGCAATGATACAAAAGCTCTTAAACCATCTACTTATATAAATCAGTTTTATTACCTATAAATATAAGTCTGATAGGTTAATGTACTATAAGGAGAAGGCTGTGGCCAGTGTTAGATACAGTGGTACTGGGTACAGCTATAATTCCTTGATGTCTAAGCAGATCCCAAGACAGACTATTGAGGCTAGACCTGAGGCTGCCCAATGCACTCCAGGAATATGAATAATCATCTCCCAAGTATGAAAATTGGAGCAAAACTGTGATGCAGCTGACCAAGCAGCCTGAAGAAGCAACACGTAGCAGTTTTGGACACACAGGCAGCTTTTGGCTTTTCCAAGGACAGGATTTACTTGAGAAGCCACCCACGCTTCTCACTGCCAAAAAAAAAACCCCAAACCAACAAACAGGAAGTCTCCAGCTTAAAAAGTAACTTCTGTAGGTGAAATAAAAACTAAGAGCTAGACGGAGAGTGCATTAATTCAGTGATTTTTATATTACCTCAAATGGTAGTGTTTGCATCTGGGCCACAGC